CAGTTTCCCCAACACCTTTATTCATCATATCCCTACTTGGAAAACAAGCTACATCTTTACTAAGCTTCCCAATATAAATGTCTTTTTCAGTAGATCAATGTCTTTGTTTCATTAATAATGCAATGTCTGTTACTACTACACTTCTGCTCCTGGTTCTAGAATTCATATCACCCAAGTAAGTCAGACCTTCTCGTGCAAGAACCAAAGCCAAAGCTCTCTGCCTTGTGCATAACAACATCCTTACATAGGACAAGATGCACCATCCATTCCTGCATGATGTGTTTTTTCCCCCTTTAGAAGAGTGGTTTTCAAGTGTGGCTTGGCACGATTACTTCAAGAGTTTTCAAATTTTTCTCATGCTCTAATACCAGTGATTAATTGATATCGGTGGAACCCAGGCTGTTTTTAAAGTAAAAACTCAATGTAGATGTGTAGCAAGGGTTTAGACTGTTTTTGAGTGTAGTTTGCTTTATTGATTGTTCTTATTGGTATAATTTTATACTTTGTTTATTCACAGGTTTTTAATATGCAGTTTGTTTTTCTAGAAAGCTTCTTTTGCTTTAGTTTTATGCTATGACCCTTGGAGGGAGTGTCGCAGAAGATCGTCCTGATCAACCAACGAAATATTTTACTAACTGCCTATGACAGATCAGGTGATCTGCTAAGTGCCGAATATTCAATGGGAACCACAATATCACTTTAGAAAACAAAGTGTGGATATTTGAAGAAAATTATTCTTTACCTAGGGAAACAGCCCAATTATAAAACATCTTCTATTTTAAAGATCCATTGAGTTAGTATTACAGACTGCATTCTTTTTGGAATAATTTAGAAAACGTATGACATATCAACTTTCTCTATCAGCTCTAGGGTTTATTACAGTTTGATATTGTAAGACAATTCACTTTCAGAGCCTGATGGCACAGAACTGTGATCCCAGCTACTCAAGAGTCTAAGGTATGAGGATTACAAGTTCAAGGCTTGCCTGGACTACAGAGTGAATTCAACTTAGTGAGAACGTGTCACAAAAATGAAAAATAAAGGATGCTGAGAATATAACTCAGTGGTAGGATACTTTCTTCATATGCACAGGATCCTGTATTGAATCACCAGTACTGCAGAAAAAAATGCCATTAATAAAGCAACCAGATTTAAAACTAGTAAATTTGTTAATAGGTACTTCTTGAAATATCTTCAAATGTTTGAATCTGCTCTTTCTCCGTACATAAAAATAAAATTGAAATCAAAGATATGTGACCAGTATTTAAACACGAATCATTGATTTTATTTAGTGACATTATATATTATAATACCAAACTCAGCTTAAATTTTGAGACAGTATTTATACAGTTGCAATAGGTAAGATTTGTCAACAGAATAACAATGTTGAAGTATTACTTCACACAGACCAGTGTTGAATATTTACTTTTAGTTATAAAAAGCACATTTTTCTCAACATATGTTTTTTTTTAAAAAATCCTTCATGACTAT